ACACACACACACACACACACACACACACACACACACACACACACACAGAGCAATGAAATCAGCAACATAAACAACATCTTAGTGAGGAATAATGTTTGCAGGTTTCAGAGTGTCCTTTTTTCTTGAGTTGTCAAATATTCACATACAGAATGAAATCAAATGTCAAATGTCCCCTGTGAGCCACTGTAGATGACAATGGGAGCCTGCACTATACAGAGCAACACTTTATAGTACATTCTGCTCTCTGATCAAACAGCCCTGAACACAAACAGTTTGAAGCAATAATACAAAAAAACTTTGTAAAGGAACAATATGAATCTACTGTGTGTCTATCTCCAAAAAGAACCCAAAATGACCCTAAAATCCGATCATGGGGACAAATATTTCCTTCAGAAAACAGTTAAATTCAAGCTCTGGTTTTGTGAGATGTTTCACGATTATATAACAAATATGAGTATCATGTCAGTCATCAATCATCAATTAACCTCACTCTGGAAAATGAAGCTTTTCACTAAGTGCTAGAAGCATACTCCTGGTCGCTAACGCTAACGCTAAAAGGATGCTGGACACAGAGATGATGTTCAAGTAGCAGGTGGGACGTTCTGCGTTTGAACTTTAACACATGACTGGCTATTGAATGTTAACGTTGTTGGCTTATTGTTTTTAATGCATATAAAGTAAACAACCTGTAAAATGATTTACACGTAGATTTATTTTGTTTTTACTTGATCTTTGTTGTTCGCAATAAAAGGTAATAAACTCCACCGGATACGTGTTGACTAAGTCACGGTCTTACTGTACTTCACTCTCACCATGGGCTGCTCTGGAGGCGATTCACATACGCAGCGATCAGAGCGTGTTCCTCGTTCATGCGCCGAGCGGCTGCCAAACTGGATGAGAGACGTTATGTCGATATTTAATGTACACATTTCTGCTGATGTATTTTTTTTTCTTTTTAAATGCCAACTGTTCAATTCTCAGTTCACTGTTGGGCTGCAAATAACAAATATGTACAATCAATGTACCAACAGTTTTTCCAATTAACCATTTGCTACATAAAATGTCAGAAAAGAAGTGAAAAGTACTGTTACCAAGTGGTCAACGCACTGCAATGAAATGTATGTTTTCTTAGATTGCAGCATTATTTTTGAGCTCTCTCAGCCACCATAGAAAAAGTGCCCATCACAGTTCAAAGGTGACGTCTTTAAATGTCTCATTTTATCAGAGGAACAGTCCAAAACATTGAATTTACCATCACGTAAATGAAAGAAAACTAGCAAATCCACACAACTTAAAAGCTTACAATGTTTTTAGCTTTACCTCTTCTTGTAATTAATTGCTGCATAAGACGCCTACATTTTATTTTCATCAAATCTAATCAGTGAAATAAAATCGCTAATTGATGTAAAGTTCGTGCTGAGAAAGCAGTCATTTAGAAGGAACAAGGGAACGAAGCAAGCTATTAAAAACTAATTTATGCTGACAGAGGTAAGTTATTACCCATTTAACCTGCAGCTTTAAACTCCAGAAACATTGCAAACTTCTAATCACTGAGAACAAAAAAATATAACAACAACCTGTTAACTGGGAGTTTTTCTAATCTTCATGTCAGTTTTTACCTTTTGGAGGACTCGGGCACTGATGTGGACAGCAACATGGCGTCAGTGGTGTTTCCAATGGGGCGAGCGGGGCTGCACACACACACACACACACACACACACACACACACACACACACACACACACGTATCAGACCCATATTACCAACAGTGTAAACACAGAGTAATGATAAAAACATTGAATCATTAAAATACAAAGTCCTGCCTGTCAGAAAACACACATTCTTGCACCTCACACTCTCTCACGTGCTTTTGAGTGCAGTCATGCAACAGTGAGTTGTACTAGTCTGAGCAAACACAGACAGGGCAAAGATCACCAGAGAGAGAGAGAGAGAGAGACAGAGAGAGAGAGAGAGAGAGAGAATGAATGCAGATCCCAAAAAACAGCGAAATGATAGAAATTCAGAAAAATTAAAGTTTGTGAGAGTTATAAAACCTGACACAGCAACATTAGAATAAACATACTCACTCCGTGCTAAGTGCTAAGTCTCTGTCTGCTACCAGTGCTTGGAGGTCCGTAATGACCCAGTCTGCCGATGTTTGGAAAATCAAACAATGTGGATCCACCGCAAGGGGCGGAGCAACCAAAGTGTTTCGTTCTAGAGGTGGGACTTTCGTGTTATCTGAAGTTTTTGTTTACATGTGACTGTACCGGCGATAACACGGCAAAATGTTATTTTAGGCCGAGTTTCTGCGACATGGTAGTTTCACTTTCTGTGATGCAGTTACCATTCTTTAGAGGGAAGTGTTAACATTCCCATTAGAGCTTCAACAAAAACCCTTCAACTGTCTGACTGAACATTAACATTAAATTGTTTACAGGAAATTCAACGTTTGTTGCTTTACTTGACTTCTTTCTTTACAGGGTTTGTATAAAGGCAATAAAGTTGTCGATAAACATGAGATATGAGTTTACAGAATAAATTGAGGAGGTTGGTTTATGCCGTTTTTCCGGTTACACTCGTTGTCTTCTTGCTTCTTCGCAGAACATTTTGTTTATACGCCCTCTGGTGTTTCGGAGAATAATTCAACGAACAGCACATTGAGCATGAAAGACTTTTTGCATGCTCACTATGGTGCCACAAGTGAGTATAAACAAAGCTTTAGTGTGTGTGCGTGTTGTGAGGTCTTACACGATGTTGGAGAGGTTGAGCGTCCTCTCAGGTTCCTCTGGGTAAATAGGATGAGGGGGCTCTCTGGACGACACACAGCCCAGAGTCCTGCTCAGGGCTCGGCCAAGCTTTGACGCCGGCGACTTCTACACACACACACACACACACACATAAATAAATACAGACACAAATATCTGGTCGACATTCAAAAGCTGTGTGACTTTGTGTTGTTGTTCTGCAGCAGTGTTAACTACAGTAAAGAGCAGGAAGAACTCCATGGATAAAAACAGTTCTTAAGACACGCGGCTGATAAACTGCTATGAAAACACATACAAAATATATCATATCTTAACTTGTATTATGTATGTACATATGTACATGAATATGCATGTAATTTACTTTCACTTATTTATATAATCGTGTGAAATTGTTGTAGTAATCTATTTCTATCGACCCCAAAAAGAAGAGCGAATGCAAATAAATAAACAAACAGTTGGCTGAGAGATTGGAGGGAATGACGACAACTTAATCTCTGTTGTGCATTTTATCCGGCGAGGATGAATTGTTTATGGCACACTTGTATCACGTTAAAACAACTTTGATTGCAGACCAAACAATTCTTGCCAAATATCAGTTTCTGATTTTATTTTGTATGCTGCAAACCACATAGAAACATGCGGGAAAGACGATGTAACCGTGTATTTTCAGTGTTAAGTGTGGCGAAGTGAAGCAGATGAGATGACAATAAAATGGAGCCCAAAACTAAAGCCTGCTGGAAATGATTTGCAAAGTCTGCAGAGGATTATTAGGATGAGTGTCCCGTGAAGAAAAGATGCTGTTGGACTGGCAGGATCTGCACCAACAAAGAGATTTATCCCTGAAACATCAATATGACAAATTATGCCAAGCCTGGGTGATAAATAATTCAACCATGTTTCCATCTATTAATACATCTGTTCTCTATTGCAAACATTTTCACCTTTAAGCTAGTTTTTGGAATATTACTATAATATTATGGGATTGAGGCATTTCAGATTTTTGGAAATAAATACATCACAATGAGCAAAAAGGCTGACAATATTTGCATTGAAATACACCTGTCCGGAGTTATCAAGGAAGATTTGCAGGTTTTGAATACGTTGTGATGATCTGTTGTGTGTTTTTATAGTTAAACCTGTTTTAAACCAGACTGTCTCAATTCAAAACCAAGTTTTAACCATCGAAACAGCTTTTTGAAGAAGTGAGGACCAGATGAAATGTCGTGTTGTGTCTTAGTTTCTAAGCGCCCCACTGTAAGCTCTAAAATTCATTATGGTCCTCACAAAGATGGAGGTCCACACACACACACACACACACACACACACTCACACACACACACAGAGTGCCCCCTGGTGTGATGAATGGGTAATCACACAGTGACTCACCCAGGACGAGTGCTCCTTCATCTGATGCTGGTTGCTATGAGAGCCGCTGACGTTGCCGTGCCAGAAGCAGTTCTGGCAGAGCTGATAACCACGGCAACGGAGGCAGTGATAGCGGAAGCCCGCCATAGCGTTGACACGGCAGTAGGAGCACGACACGGGATGGTAGACTGAGACAGAGAGGAGAGAGAGAAGGCAGTATCTGTCACAGATAATTGCATTTAACTTACATCTATGTTTGTGTGTGTGTGTTTGTGTGTGTGCGTGTGTGTGTGTGTGTGTGTACCATGCTCCACGTTGGCCATGCGGTGCATGAGAGGCAGCCAGACAAGACACTGAGGAGGGTCAGCCACAATGTCCAGGAACATGTTGAGCATCACCCTCTTCTACATCAACAACAACAATTACAGAAGACAAAACTCATCAGGAACACAGAATATTAAATACAATTATAATCCTGTAATGCTGTTATTACTGAAATAAATGTATATAACAAAGGACAGATGAATGGGGTGGTTGAGGTGTGTGAGCGTACCTGTTGTGGGAAGCATGAGCGTGCTGAGGTCTGTGTGTAGCCAAAGGATGGCCCTTCATGTGCAGCGGTGGGCAGCTTGAGAGCCTCCCTCAGAAAACCATCAAACTTGGACTGTACCAGCACGCCGCTGGAGTCAGATACCTGAGAAAACACATCTACACACACACACAAACAAAAAATAGTAAAGCATTAGATTAGATTAATTTCTTGAAGAAACGGCCCAAACCATGACTATGTCTTACATGTGCCAATTCATAACCCCAAATTAACTCTTAACCTACATTTTAATGGTCGACCTTTTGTGCACAAGCTTTTGGTCCCGAGACCAGAGGTGAATCTCCATAATAGGACTTTTTTTAAAAACATATTCCTGTCACCACACCATGATTAATAAAAGTTCAGGTAAATTAACATAAGCAAACAGTAGCATTGACCTGCATTGTCCAAACGGTGGCAGATATGTGACGTGAATATATATACCTCCATACATGCTGAAATTCCCACTGAAAGATTGAGATTGTAAATAAAGTTATTAAGACATAAATGCAGTAAAACTAATTAAGTAGAAGTGCACAGTCCGTGATATATGAATAAATACAAATGATACAGATACAAAATGTATACTCTTGGTCCTGTTGGCCTATCATGAACACTATTTCTATACATGTGTTTACACCAGGTGGCAACTTCCTGTTCTGTAAAGAGAAGCCAGTAAAGAAGTGTCTTAAATTTGCATTCTTTCTAATAACCACAAGGGGTCGACTCCTCTGTTTGCAAAAAGAGGTCAGATTATATGGAGGTCTATGAGATGATGACCCTACTTCTTACTTGATTTGTTACCTCAGTAAACATTGTAAACATTGTAAACATGAGTTTATTTTCTCAGTCTCTGGTTTCAAGTCTTCTTCAATGCAGCATGATGTTCATTTAGGAAACTATGGTCCCATTTAGAGTCAAATAAATCATAAAGCAGGGTGTGCTTTAGGGCGGGGCTACCTTGTGATTGACAGGTCGCTACCACGTGTAACATTTTAACTACAAACGTCTTATTCAGCGATCGGTTCTACTGAGCTTCCATCTCGTGTCACTTCTGGTTGCAAACAACCAAGATGGCGACGGCCAAAATGACGAACTCAAAGGCTTCAAACCTTTAGTCCACAAACCAATGGGTGGCGTCACGGTGACTACGTCCACTTCTTCTTACAGTCTATGTTTTACAACTGAAGCCTACATGTTCATGGCCGTTTTCTGGGGAGCGTTTAAAGTATTTCTAATAAATCTAAGATAATGTATCTGCAACAGGTTCCACGTGAGTCGTGATGGTATCGTTTGGTACTCACAGCGGAGCTTATCTAGCAGTTTCCCTCCACACAGTGTGGCCAGCATCGCCTTCACAGAGAGCACCGTCAGACGGCTGTCAGGCTCACTAAGAAACAAACACATAGGACACTATAGCACAGCACATGTCACATTCACTTGTATTTAAAGCCTTTTTAATAAAAAAAACTAGCTACCTGTCAATGGCGGTCAGCAGGAATTCGACTAACAGGACGGCGCTCTCTCGCGGGTTGATGGTGTGCGTGGTGGGCAGGCGCTTGCTCAGCTGGTTGAACAGGGAGGACACCAGGTTCTCCAGTCGGGTCACGGAGATGCCGGCGTTCAGCTCTACGGTGTTCAGACCAGCGTCCCGCACCGCCTCGATCACATTGAATATATCGATCAGATGCACTGGAACGAGAGCAGTCAAGATATGTGTCACGTAGAGAAGCTTGTATACCTCAAACTTATTTGACAGAAAATCTCTGTATTGACACTTTAAACTGATGCTAAAGGAGAACATGGAAGACTTACAGTTGCATCTCTTCTGTATGAATCTGAGCTTGCAGGCCGTTCGATACGTGGAGAGACAAATGGCATCCAAGTTCTGCTCCCCTGTGACAAGAAGAAGAAGAAAACATGTTCAAGCTTGGTTGATTATGAGTCCGTGTTGGAGATAAATACACATCGTTCTTCTGCATGCTGGGGATGGAGTTACACATTTGAAAGTACTGGAGCCAAAAACACTGAAGGAGAGGAAAATCCACCTCGGGGTCAAAGGTCACTCACCAAGCTCTACGAGGATCTGTCTCCGCTCTGCTTCCACTGTTGCTGGAGTCCCCCTCCCTCTGTCTCTCTGCCCCCCCTCCTCCATCACCATCCTGCACAAAACAGCAGCAAAACTCAGCACCTGGGTTTCCTTTTAAAGGCCTTGAAAAACATCATGAAACTGTTTGTAAAGGGACCATGTGAACTGTTTGTTGTTTGTAATGTCGTCTGAAATGTTTCTGGTGGATCTGATTTGCTCTACATTTAAAAAAGTAACTTAAAATTCAGATGAACCTTAGATAGGAACCCCATTAGAGACTCGTTGGACGGAAACTACTCGGGCAAAGCAGGCACTGTTGAAGTGTACCACACAGGACTACTGTATGCATACCGACACACACACAAACAAACTAGAGGCGGCGGCTCAGAGTCAAGTTCAGCTTGGTAAATAAACACATTAATGAGAGCAGCTGAGGAAATGTGATCCGTAGCCTGGCATTCAGACCACTTAACAAGGGCACAGAGATAAAGGGAGGGGGGGGGGGGGGACTGTAAGAGAGAGAAAGAAAGAAAGAAGAAAGGATGGAGGAAGGAATGTAAATGTAAATCAAAGAGGGAGGGGGGGAGTTGAACCAGCCAAAATCTCCACGGACTGAGCTGCTGCCGGCCATTATTTCGTGTTTTTTTTTAAGGATTAAATAAAGTTAGCTGTCACTCATGGCTCTGCTGTCAGCTGACACAGAAAAACGCCCGAGGACATCAGTCGCCATGGTAACAGTCATACTACACCACAGAACTGAAACACGCAGAGACACACACACACATATCTGCATTCCTTGTATAAATGTGGTGACAAGCCAACCCCCAACACACACACACACACACACACACATTCCAGAGAGGATTTGAAAGCTTCCCAGGAGACTTCATGCTTCATCCAGACAAAAGAAGGATTCCTCCTTTCATTCACTTTCTCTCTCTCTCTCTCTCACACACACTCTCTCTCTTACATTCCCATCTTTATACAGCTGTACACTCTAAAGGCTGCTCATGCCAGCTAGTCAAGTGTAACTTTCTTCTTTCTCTCTTGACACCTTACAGGAACAGTCATGTCATTACTTCAAAGTGCCCTTAAGTAAGACTCCAGAAACACACTAGACCACCTTTGTCTTTGTAACCCGACAGTAAGTTCCACCGTGACCTTGCTCAAACCGGAAAAACATGAAAGATATTTGACAACAACTGGAATCCACAGATCCATCAGGACATCAGGACAGCAAGTGACGGTGCATTAGGGCGCATCGAGCACAGAGTAGATATTTGACACATCGTTTTGTGAGTGAAATGTCAGGAAAAATACATCACAATTTAGTAAAAGCTAAGGTGGTGTCAACAGTCCACATTAGAAAGATATTCAGACTACAATTACATAATATCAAGCAGCAAAACCTCACATTTAAGAAGCTGTAACTATTAAATGTTTTTGCTTGAAAAAATGTTCACCAGTTACCACACTGGACTCCCGCAGTGAGCAAATCGTTATTTCCAGCCTGGCCTTAGTGATAACTACACCATGTCTGTCTGTGTGTCTGTCTGTCTGTCTGTGTATAGCTGACACGGAGGAACATTTGGTCTGTGAGGTTTGCTTTCTATTTTAACTCTGAAAGCTTTAAATCATCACAGATATAATTATCCTTCCAGCAATTACCCCCAACTATGTCAGAGGGCCAGCAACAGCTTGGCTGCCGTTTTCCCAATCACTGGGTCCAAGTACAAAGGTTGGTCACACGGGCTGGATCCAAATAAAATAGGCTTTTACCTAGATCCCTGCTTCATTAATGAATGGCACACCTGTAGCAGCCTGACCAACATTCACTCAAAACAATAAAACATAGGCCAAATATAGATAAAGTCAAATTCATGGAAAGTACTTCAAGCCACAGAAAGTCAAACTTCAGGAGCTCAGCTATAGAAAGTAAAGTATAGACGGGGGGGAGGGGAAGAAAGAGAAGGGTTTGGAGCTGGAGAGGTGCATACAGCCGACTGCATGTGTGTCGCTTCTCTGTGTTTGTGTGGGTGGCGGTGCGCGCTGCTGTTGCACCATGGTGTTTTATTATGGCTGACATTTGCTGAGCTTTACGGAAACAAACACACAAACAGCACACACTGCCCTGAGTACGCACAGAGGACGCACTAACTTCTGCCGTAAGATAGGGGCTCAGAAAACACAGCGGAATGCTTCCATTTACCCCTAATAGGCAGTGTGTGTGTGTGTGTGTGTGTGTGTGTGTGTGTGTGTGTGTGGTCCTACCTCTCTGTGTCAGGGGGTCACACAGGACAGAGGAGCCTCAATAAGGGACGTCTAGCAGAGAGACAGAGAGAGAGAGAGAAAGACAATTTGAAAAGTCTTTTCAGTCTGTAGACAATAATGTCAAAAGCTCTTTGGGGACAACAGAGGACGCTAAACACAACCAGTGAGGTACTCTCTCCTGCATCTCTGCACATGTTTGCAAAATTGTCCTTTTTATTATGTTATAAATAAATAAAATACTTTCTTTCATCTGTAGTCACTGCTGATACGATGAAGGATCCTCTCTGATCGTAGGCCGCCTTAAAACAACTGAACATCCTTTATCAGTGCATTTTTATATGTTATGTTGAATAAATTACTCATTTTATGAGCGGTGTATTGCAGGTTCTTCTGATTTAAAGTCCTTTACCGGTAGTGTGTGACGCTCTTGTTGTCAAAACAAGGCCATCGGATTGCAACACAGCACACAGTACTCAGTCGACTGACGTCAATTCATGTGGCTGCTTAACACACCATTATTTTAAATGTAAAGTCAATGAAAGTCAAGTGCTTCTTCTTGACACATGCTCTGAATATATTCTTGTAAAGCTGGAAACAAATTATGACCATTTGTAAAAAAAATGTAATAAAATCCTTCACTGTTTTGCTCAAAAATAGGCTGAAAAGCAGCCAAGTGCCAGCAAAATATTCCCCAAACAAAAAATAATGAATTTACACACTGACAAGTCGTTAGGCTCTCAAGGCAGCAGTCAGCAACACAACAAAGAATCTAAACATTGTCCCACAAATACAGTCTAACTCAAACCTCGTGGATACGACGACCACAAAACGCGGAGCATCCGCATTAGCGTTATATTTCTGAATTCACGCGCGTGGCTTTAAACGAATGAGCGTGAACGCACAGACAAAAAACAAAAGAACGACATCCGGCCTGAATACCAGTCAAGACAAACTGCAAGAGGCAGACGGTTACATCCTGTCAGCAGGTGTCACACGCATGACAGACAGACAACTGATACACACACACACACAAATTTCACTGTATGGAAACTCAAATGCCACAACACACACACAGCAGTGACACAATGCTATGCTACACTTTTCGCCAACAGCTGACTTAAAACGTGCTGTTTTTTTCTATCACTTTATCACTGGACCGCTACAAGAACAACACGTTCCTGTTCACATCTGGTTACTCACCATAAAAGCCACACATGATGTTAATCGTCACAGTGAGACCTGTCACTCTATTACCTGCTGTATCATCACAACATGTCACCCAGAATCACACTAGTTGGTGATTCAGACGTAGGATGTGTGTGTGTGTAATATAGAAAGTGTTATTTTCTCTAAACTAAGATGTAACAAATAATATTGGTTTGGGATCTGTACAGAAAATCACATTGGCATTGAAGGTGCTTGAAGATGTCCCTTTGGGCTCTGGGTAATTTTATTGTCACTATTTTCTGGCATTTTATAGTCTAAATTATCAATGTTATTTATTCATGTTACCTGGATAAGTACTGCACATTACACACATTACACACACACAGATACTCAAGTAATCATGCGTGACTGTGTGATGTTGAGTCTCATCAACCTTTACTTCTTCTCTCTCCTCACTACACGGTGTTTGTGTGATTGTGTGTGTGTGTGTG